TGCTAGAATTAGAATTTGATGAATTCAAATAGTAAGTCAAAACTAGGAAAACATAAATAAGATGCATATAAAGAATTAAAGTACATGGCATAAGGATGACTTCTTTTCTTTTTCTTTTTCTTTCTTTCTTTTCTTCCCAGCCTTGCCCGATTCTGCTCTTCTTCTCCTTTCTTCCCGCTGCAGCCACCCGAAGAAAAAAAAAAGGGAAACCCAGCCATGCCTTGGAAAATTGGTAAGGAAGCTTGGTATTTTCCCCTTCCTTTCTTGCTCTAGAACACACCTAGAACCCAGAAATCTTTCCCCCCCTGCTGGAAAAGCCAGATCTGCCCTGCTTTGCTCTGTCCTTCCGCCGGCTGCTCCTGCTTTGTGGGGGTGATTTGCTCCGGTTTTGGGTAAGAAACAGCTACCAATCCCTCTGTTCTTGCTTGAATTAACTTGGGTCTACCTTAATTGCTCTTGGTTCTCCATTTTTGGGTAGATTTCCGTGAGTTCCTTGCAGCTTGCCGCCGGCCTCTTTCCCCCTACAGCTCCGGTTCTTGCTGGAAAATTATGGTATGTGACAGCCTTTTAAGGCTTAAATTGTCCATTTAGTTTGCTGCCTTGTGTGTCCGTGAATTGCTAGAAAATTGGGGATAATTTTGGTAGCTTTAGGACCATGATTTAGCTTAATTCAAGTGGGATTTATATGATTGAGTGTTAATTGATTGCTGTGTGATTGTTGGAGAGAAAACCCGTGAATTAGTTAGTGTTTTGGCCAATTGGTGGAAGTAGAGTTACTGTTCACGTCGGGTTACTGTTCACCGATTACTGTTCACACCCTGAGGGCCAACATTTAACGGGAATTTAAATGATTAGTTTGTGATATGAGAACGAATTTGGAGATATAAGAACAATGTGGAGATTTATGGAAATAGCATTGTGATTAGGAATGATCCTAATGATGAGTTTACCTTGAATTTGTGATAGTTCGGAATTAATTCTTGGATATCTTGATTAGGTTCTTGATCATCCTGTCAGTTTAGCACTGAGATTGAGTGCTCGGTTTTATGCGAGTGAGGTAAGTAATTTATGGTAACGCCTGTACTGTTTTAAAAGCATGTTTTGATTTGTTTTTGAAATGGTGGCGGGACTAAACCCGTTTTACACGAGCATGACGGATTTGAAGTGAAATGTTTTATGCTTTTCATTAAATTGAGCATGCCTACTGGAAATTTGATTGATTGTCCTAATGATTTGAAAGTGATTGATAAAGAATGATTTTCTGTGAACTTCTGCCTGTTTTGTCTCCGATATGGTTATGTTATTGATTGTAATCCTGCTAGTGGGGGTTAAACGCTAGCATATGTCGACATGTTATTGATAGAACCGGTTCGTTCAAGTGTAGCCTGCCAGTGGGAAGTTTAATACACTGGCCATGACCTATAGAGGAGACGTCTATTTCGTTCCCGTACTTGTATCCGTTTTTCTTATTACACTTGTTGGCATGCTATACGTTTAATAAGGGGCACTCCATATTTTACTTACTGAGTTTATCTCATAGTTTTTCCTTGTCCACCATTTTAGGATATGAAATCGAGGACGGGGAAACCATGGGAAGTGACGAGTTAGAAGGCTAGCCATATTGTAATTGGATATAAATTTTAGATATGAATCATGATCTTGTATTTGGAGATTTTATGATACGAGAGAGAATTTTAAAGATTTGATCTTCAGATAAAGTGGTATCAGAGTGGTATGATAAGTTCCGAGCCTTGTGCACTTATGGGACTCGTCTCACGAGTGTACGGCGTCTGTCGCGCCTCGAATTTGGGTTTTGGGGCGTGACATTTAGAATAAAAGTGGGATATAAATATAGGAGTGATTATAAATTGCGAATTATCTTTCTATGAGATTCATTTAAACATTTTATTTTTATGTTTAA